CTCGTAAATCCTTCGTGTAACGGTGACATCATGGTGAGTAGCAACTGCCCCAGGAATAACCACATTATCCTCCCGAGCAATCTCAACAGTATCCCAAAAATCATTCTCATTACGATCCTCTCCATCAAAAACTTCGTGTTCACCCTCGATGACATTTTTCTTCAACAAACTTACGCAAATAGGAGTCGTCTTTCGACCTTGGTTCAATTGAATTAGATGCTTTATTTGCGCTTCAGAAGTAACTTTCAAAGGTGGAATCGAAATTGTTGAATGCTTTTGAAATAAAAATCCCAATTCCATATCGTATTGAGAGGAATCGACGTTAAGCATGTTTTGTATTTCACTGTACATTTCTGTAAATGAAGTATTTTTTGTTATCGTAATAGCAGCAACCCCTTCTCCTTCACTCGTCCATTTCCATTCCCATTGACCATTTTCTTTCCTTTGAAATTCGCCGAAATAACAGATTGGGACACACGCTTTTGCCATATCTGCATTATGAATTAAAAATATCAGAATAAATTATCAGAAAAAATTATCAGAATCGAGGGGCGGGGGAGTCTGCAAACGGAATCCGGACCGTCGGCAACGGGCGGTCCGGACCGGACGAACCGTCCGTTGCGGACGGTCCGGATGGTCTGGACCGTCGTTAAATCGTCGTTCCGACGTCTGATCGGTGCCGGCCTGAACTTTGACTCTAATATTATTTTTTCTACCATTTAAAAAAAATATATGACTTCAATAAAAATAAAATTAAATACTACGAAAAGATACTTACCGAATTGAAGTGCTGAAATTTAACTAAATTTTTCTGTTGAGGTTGATAACTGATAAGTTTATGAAATTTTGAGGTTGAAGTGGATGAAAAATGGAAGAGTTTTTATCGTGTTAGAGTAAACTGATGAAAAGACTGACTTCGTTTTCAAATTTCAATTGAGCCTTGTTTGGATTTTTATTTGTAACTTAAGGATATTTTTGTCTTTTTACCATATTTCTATTTTTGTAATTATATAACTCATTTAAGGGCGTTTTAGTCTTTTACACAAGAAATGGCTATTGTGGTGAATGTTAGATTTTTATGGTTAAAATGGAAAATGGTTGGTTTGACAAAGCTATACTTAAAAGTACCCCCATATTAGTTAGAGATAACGTCAAACCAAAACTAAAGAGGAGAAATGGGTAACATTTCAATAATCTCCTCCATTCTATTGCTTTTGTGCTTCCTGCTGAGCTCATGAATCATGATAAAGACTTTTTTAAGTGCTTGCACAAAAAGGCTGCAGGCAAAGCCAAAATCCTAGAGAATATTTATATCCCAAATTCGCAGAGAGATTCATCTCTCGTGGAATTATCCCAGAAGAATCCCCGATGGCTGAATTCTACGTCGCAGCTGCCTCTTGTCATCGTTACTCCCCAAGAAGAAAAAGAAATCAAGAGTGTAATTGTATGCAGCAAAAAAGTTGGATTAGAAACCGGGTAAAGAGTGGTGGCCATGATTATGATGGCCTCTCCTTCCGAACCCAGAATGGCAACCCGTTTGTTATGTTTGATCTTCACAATCTTAATGCCACTGAGATCAATCTGGAGGAAGAGAGTATATGGATTCAGACAGGGGTCATGTTGGGAGAATTGTATTACAAAATAGCCCAGAATAGCAATGTTCATGCTTTTCCAGGAGGATTGTGTCCGGGCGTTGGCTCTGGTTGGCATATTAGTGGTGGAGTATTCGTGACCCTGTTAAGAAAAATGGCCTTGCTGCTGATAATGTATTGGATGCTCGCATTATGGACGCGAATGGCAGAATACTGGACAGAAGAGCAATGGATGAAGATTTGTTCTGGACATTTAGGGGGAGGTGGAGGGGTAACTTTTGGGGTGATTCTTGCTTGGAAACTCAAGATGGTTCGAGTCCCAGATCAGGTAACTTCCTTCTCTTTCCGAAGAATGTTTGATGCAAGAAAATTTTATCTTCTCCGAAGGTGGTAAAAGATCGCACATAAGTATACCGATGATTTATTCATGAGAGTCATTATCCAAAATTTAGGCACAAACGCCCCAGGAGATGAAAGGGTCGTTCCGATGACTTTTAACGGACAGTTTCTTGGAACTCCAGATGAATTAATTCCATTGTTGAATCAGGGCTTCCCCGAGTTCGGTTCCACGGCAGAAGATTGCTTCAAAGGCTTTGATTTTGGAAATAACAGTGACTGCCCCGACAAGCCATGTTTAAAGAAAGAATGCGTACAAGTGTCCTTGATTCGGTCATTATTTTACTTTTTCAGGAAAGAATATGACGGGTCCATTGGAGATTTTGTTGAACCCGAAAAATAACCAAGTCCAATACAGCAAGGGAAAATCTGATTACGTGAAGTGTAACGAGCCAAATTTTAAATAGTTTCAAAACTCGTTACCAAACCCTTATTTCAAGATTAATTAAAAATAATTAATCATCCAACACGAAAATATTTCTAGTTCCATCTATAAAATAAATAAATAAAAACTTGGAAGAACTTAAAAACAAATTATCCATTACTTTCTATTTAAAATCATAAACTACGTATATTCATCTGCAACTAACATGAACGAGAATTTATTCGTAAATAAATAAATGTTTACTGCAATAAACTGAAAATAAATAAACATTACGTGCTAACTTAGATCTTTATTTGGCGAAACAAGACGCAACCACACCTTCGAACCACCACGCTCCAACACGACCCGATCTAACCTGTGAGGAGTAGGAAAAGGGTGAGTATATGGGAATACTCAGTAGGGTACGAGAAATTGTGCAATCCCAATTAAAAATATTAAATCACTCGTCAAAATATCATACCGTCATATCATATCTTTAGAACCGGTAAGAGCTCATATCATATCATATCTTTGGTACCGAATGGCCATAACATACATATCATAATCACATTATACATATCATAACTTTCATAAGTATAATATTTATCAAACATGAAGAAATAATTTAAATGGGACAACCCACTTGCACCTCGTAATCCTACCTTGCTAGATATCTTAAATAATGAAAGGCAAAAATCCAAAATCTCTTTCCAAAACTTTTGCTTTCGATTACTGCTGCCAGAAACGTATTTCTTTTTCTTTTTTATGCTTTGGAAATAAAAGTAGGCTGAAGTCTGATTTTTGCTGAGTATTTGAAATAAAAAAAATAAAAGAATCCTGATGCAACTAGAAGTGGAAATCGTGCTACACAAGGAATAGGATAATAATGATTATACAAAAAGTTGGATAAGGATTTGAATTTGGAATAATATCAAATACAATATTTTCTAACAAATCACGTATCTGCCATAACAATTCAAAACCATAAATTATAATAAAAAAAATAAAATATCTCCACAACTTTCATCTTTCTCTCTCCACGTGAATTCTTCCAAACAAAAGTAATAAAAATAATATTTTAATGTTATATCTTCCGGCTTCGATAACTTGGGCTCGACTAATCCAAATTAATTTTTTCTCGAGTCTAAAATGCGTCTTTAATTATTATCTATCCAACGAGCCCAATATCCGTATACTTATCATCGTCCTGTCAATATTTATATTTTAATCTAAATATTATTAAAGTTTACTTTATATACACTTTAGTCCTTAAACTTTCAAAACATTAAAAATATAGCATAAATAAAATAAAATTATATTTTATAAAATTTCGGGATATTATATGAAGACTCCTATTTCGAATAAGGGATGGGAAATTGTACGGAAATTTTCTTGGATGAACGAAAGCCAATGATGATATTAGATCCTTATGGTGGAAGAATGAGAAAAATTGCAGAAGACGATAGTCCTTTTCCTCACAGAGGGCAATCTGTTAACGTACAACATCTGAATTACTGGTCAGATAACTCTGAAAGGGAAGCCAATAGAAAATTGAGATGGATTCAAAATCTACACAAGCAATTGGAGCCATTTGTAGCCAACACTCCAAGAACTGGATATATCAATTACAAATATCTTGATTTGTGGACAAATGACAAGGATTATAGCTACTCGGCTGCAAAAGTCTGGGGTGAAAAGTATTTCAAGGGAAATTTCGAAAGACTGGCAAGAGTGAAGGGCAAGGTTGATCCTGGCAACTTCTACAAAAATGAAAAAAGCATCCCGGTCCTAGTATAGGATGAGTTTTGGTTTATTTTGGAAATGAAAAATATTCATAGAAATCCTCTGTAATCCATTTTACAAGAGATATAATCCAATATAATGGTTTCAGAGTATCAATATTCCATTTATATGGAGGTACACTATTTTCTCTGAGATTTGAACATGATTATTGTCTGACATTATATGCTTAACTCTCTAGCTAGAGCATACGTATATCAAAATGTGCACTAATATTAAAAATTCTATTCTCGAGATTCAATTCAATTTTCATTTCAAAGGGTTAATTTGAGCCTACTGGTGTACCTGTCTATAGTGTAATATGTATTCAACTTTTGCACGATATCTATTTGCTTTAATGAAATCTATAGGATTCAGAATATTTCTCATAGTGTACTTTATCTTGCCTCAAGCATATTTCATAACTGGAATACTTTGTTCATTTCTAAAGTAGTTTTCAGGGTCAATCCTTGTCTTCACTTGCACCAATTTCTCGAAGTTTCCCTTGAAATACTTGGTCCCCCAAATCATTGCTTTCGAGCAGTTGGTATCATCTTTCATGTTCGTCCCTATATCAAGATCTCTATAATTGAAGTAAGCAGCCCTGGGAGAATGCGCTACAAATGGAGTCATATATTCGTACAGATCTCTAATCCATTCTACGTTCCTGTCGCTTTCCACAATCCCATCTTTTTGCCATTTCACCAAGTACTGTATGTTGTATAAATTCCCTTTTCTATGAGGAAATGGAAGTTCATAGTCTGGTATTTCATCCATTCTTGCACCAAATGGATCCAACAGCATAAATGCTGATTCTACTCTTGAAAATTTTTCCCATATTTCATCAAATGCAGTTTCCGGGATTGGATTTTGAACAAAATCAGACTTCCCTTTGAAATTACTCTTGAAAAGTGTGGTTCTATTTAGCAGAACATTTAAATTTTCTTGGTTGATAAATCCTGCGAAGTAGAGGACGGATTGAATCCAATTCATTTCAATGCAGTTTTCTGATTTTAAGTCCAATTCAGGGAAAGCATTAGACATTAATGGGATAAGTTTATCTGCTTCTCCAAGAAATAATGAGTTGAAGGATGCTTTAACTGTCCTTGTTCCATTCACATCGGAATTTTGTAAAATAACTCTTAAGAATAGATCTTCTGAAAGTTTATCTGCAATATATTGCCATCTGTGGACAAGTTTTTGGGCTTCTTTCCCGATCTTGCCGATGGTAAAAACAGTCACCTTGGATGGAACTTCAACCAACTTGATTTTCCAAGAAGTTATGATTCCGAAGCTGGATCCTCCGCCCCCTCGGATGGCCCAAAAAATGTCCTCCCCCATTGCCTTTCTGTCGAGGATTTTCCCATTTACGTCAACTATGGTAGCATCGACAATATTATCTGCAGCAAGTCCAAACTTTCTAACCAAGGTACCTAATCCTCCTCCACTAAGGTGCCCTCCAACCCCCACACTCGGATAAAGCCCCGCCGGAAATCCAAGAACTGGTGATTTACCAGCTATTTCATGGTACAATTCTCCAATAGTAGCACCGGCCTGAACCCACGCGGTTTGAAGTCCTGAATCAATGTCAATTGATCGATAATTTATCAAGTCAATGACGATAAACGGACTTCCACAACGATAAGATAGGCCTTCATAGTCATGTCCTCCACTTACAACTCTTATTTGCAAGCCATTTGCCTTGCTACAAATAACAGCTGCTTGAATTTCACTTTCATTTGTTGGAGCAACCATAAACAAAGGTTTTTGAGTTCTCGAGTTCACCCATCTTGGATTCTGTTGAAAAGATTGTAGAAGAGAGGAATACATAGGCGAATCTGTGGAGTGTATGTATTGTTTTGTACTAGTATTTGCAGCAGAATGACATGACATGCATTCAAGAAAACCATTGATATTTGCACTGAAGCAAATAGGCCATGATATTGAAAGAAGTATACAAAATATTGTCAAAAAATGCATATTGTTCTTTCTGTCTTGTTGAATCCATGATTTTTGGTAAATAAGTCCTTTGTGAATGACAGTTCCAATTCAAGTTATTAAATTCCACTATAAATGTTTTCTTCATTCCTTTTGCTAATTAATAGAAGTAATCTTATTCAATTACTGTTACTAAGTTTTAAATTCTTGGAGTTAATTAATAATCATTAATTACTGCTGTTCATTAGTTAATTTTTTCTGTAAGATAAATTGTTTTCCTTTTTCATATTAGTTTTTACACCGAGTCGAAAAGAGAAGATTGTGATCAAATTGACTGATGGATGGTCCGAGCCTATAAAATAAAGTAAAAATGTCTCCTTGTCCGGGGCCACATGGGCCTTGGATTTCCAGTTATTGGAGGGGGGCTGTTGAAGGATGGTAGAAACAAATGAACTCATTTTTTAATATAAAATAATTTAAGCGAAAATTTGACAAATAGCAATTTTTTGCAATGACCATTAAATATTTTGAGAATTGCTTTATCTTTAGAGAATTGTATCACATAGTTTAAATTGAAATGTAATATGTTATTTGTATAGGAATAGTTAATATTAAAAGTTTTGGTTTTGGTTTTGATGCTTTAAATTTTACTGTTGTATGTATATGTGCAAGTACGTACTTCATTCATCTTCTTGACGTATTCTCTGTGAGGGTGGAAAATTGGAAATGTGAAATTTATTGTGTTTTTGTTGGAGAAAATGGAAAGAAATTTTTTTGCTGATGGAGTGATAGAGGTTTCGAAGTGTTGTACATTCTATTGGTATATATGACTAAGAGTGGCCTTGGTTTGATCTAATTCTTAAGAGAAATCAAGCTGAATATTAATAGATATTTTAGAATTGGAGTCATTGGTTCTATATCAAACTATAGAAACAAACCAGAATCGAATTCCATTTCTAACTATAGAATCAAATTTAAATCCGACCATTCGGTTCTGTCTGATCCGGTTCGATTCTTTATATTTAAAAATTCTAAAAATAAAGTAAGAACCAGAATCGAATTCCATTTCTAACTATAGAATCAAATTTAAATCCGACCATTCGATTCTGTCTGATCCGGTTCGATTCTTTATATTTAAAAATTCTAAAAATAAAGTAAGAAATTACTTCTCAGATTGAAAATTATTGGGTTTTGTGACCCAAATTCATCTAGGGTTGCGTAGTATGGTGTATTGGGTCTTGAAGGAGTCAAAATAGGTCCAAGGAGGAAAAATGGTGTTTTGACTCTAGCTAGCTGCTTGAGTAGATATGTGGAATTTTCAGTAGAGACTTGCTACCCACTAGCACTCGCCTACCATGACCCTTGCGCTTGAGCGCTATTGTTGTTCAGGTTTTCCTTGTTTTGTTTATTCGATGCATTTTTTGAATTAATTTCCATCTTTTGGGCTACTATTAATGTTTGACATA